GTTTATCACTCTTTTCATCCTTTTTAATATTACTTTGTCACTTCTACATATATTGTCCTTGGGAGTGACCGTCGTGAGGTGGGCTCAGTTTTCTTCGTGCTCACCAGCCAGAGAAGTGAGTCCTCAAATACGGATTAAGTTCGTAAGTCAAGACCTCACTGTATTACTTTGTCACTTCTACATACATTGTCCTTGGGAGTGACAGTCCTGAGGTGGGCTGAGTTTTCTTCGTGCTCACTAGCCAGAGAAGCGAGTCCTCGCTCAGTTGGGCAGTATAAAAATCAACCCATCAAACAAATGAAATAAAAGAAACACAGATGCTCGTCCAAGCAGACCAAGTTCGTAAGTCAAGACCTCACTGTATTACTTTGTCACTTCTACATACATTGTCCTTGGGAGTGACAGTCCTGAGGTGGGCTGAGTTTTCTTCGTGCTCACTAGCCAGAGAAGCGAGTCCTCGCTCAGTTGGGCAGTATAAAAATCAACCCATCAAACAAATGAAATAAAAGAAACACAGATGCTCGTCCAAGCAGACCGTATGGCTCCTAGGGAAGAGGAGAGCTTACTTTTCCATTCTTCTGTATGCTGATTTTTAAAAACTGTTTGAATTTAACTAGATTTGAGGTTTTTAAAAAATGTTTTGGATTCTCTTAATGGGATTTTATTGGTTGCAACCCACTATGCGGATTCAGCATGGAACTGTCCCATCAGCAAGGGATTCGGGAAACTGACGTTGTAAAGAGCCGGAGGGTCAAAATGCATCTGGAGCACTACGGAGAGGGAGACCAGGCTGACCAACATCCCGTGATCCCTTACCCGGGGAATTGACACCTTCCTGCTCTTCCTGCTTGATCCATTTAGGCAGGAACGGCTCTCTCGCTCCCTGTGAAGTCCTCCGCGCCTTTGGAATACAAGCCGCCACTTCTGAAAAGAGGTCCTGCTGCCCTCCCGGAACAATCAACGGGATATTTAAAAGAAGAAGAAGAAGAGGGTGGTTAGGAAAGAAGCACCATAGTCTTAAGGCCATTTTCTCAGAAGTCTCCAAGAATTCTCCCGGCAAAATTCTGAGATTTCCAGCCCACCGACCCACACCTGCGGACGCCTACCTTTCGCTCACCTGGGACCCAGGCCTATCTCTGTCTCAAGGCCTGTATGTCTTATTGGTCACGTGCCAAAAAAAAAAAGAAAAAGAAAAAAGGAAGCGATTTCGGTGCTTGCTGGGAGTCATCATCTCAATGGCTTTTAGGTTCTATAAAGGGTGTTTGCCAAAAAAACCCTACAACCCTCAGGAAGCATATTAACAGCTTCCTTTCTTGTACATCACCAACAGGAAGGAAGGCCTGAGACAGCCATTCAGCCTCAGAAACAGGCCTAGGTTCCAGGTGAGTGAAAGGTATGTGTCTGTCTGTGTAGGTCTAAGGGATGGATCCCCCAGAATTCTGCATGGGAATTCATGGACTTGAAGACAAACACATTATTGGTGGGGAGGGATTTTTTAACATAATCTTAGAATCATCTTCAGCCCCCTGGAAGTACCGTGATAAAACCTCTCACCTGCTGTTCCTCCTGCTTCTTTTGTTCCGCCTGGCTCAGGAGGAAGCCTTCGGCCAGGGCCACCGCCTGGGAACTGGTCTCTGGCCCGCATTCCCTCACCCAGCTCTCCATCTCTGGGGGAAGGATGGTCAGGAACTGCTCCAGGATCACCAGGTCCAGAATCTGGGTCTTGGTGTGTTGCTCCGGCTTCAGCCACTGACGGCACAGACGGTGGAGTTGGCTACAAATCCTTCGGGGTCCCTCAACCTCTTTGTAACGGAACTCGCTGAAGCGCTGGCCCAGTACCGCAGAGGTGGGCGCGTTCTCACTCAGACGTTTCTGCATTTTTGTCTCCCAGAATTCGCCACTGCTGTCAATTTTTACGGGATCAGGGTCTTTAGCTGCTCCGGTGCCCGCCGAATCTATGTCTTCCATCTTTTGAGTTGGTCTTTGGGACAACGGATAATGAAGATCTCCTAACCCTTAAGCCACTGTCCTCCTTAGAGCAAGGGTTGCCTTAATAGGCTGTTCTGCGAAAGACTTGTAACACCAACGCATCTTCCTCTAAAACAATGGTTGCCTGTTGCACGTTCGAAGACACAAAGGGAAAGAAAAAAACAAAAAGAGGCAGTTTGGATAGCAACCCAGCTGTCTCCTCACAGGAAAGACCACCCCACTGGTTACACCTTAGGGTAAACTCCTGGGATCCCCCAAACCTCAAAATGAGGGAATGAAACAATAGAGGAAGTCAAGAGGGGGGAATTTTCAACTGTGTTTTTTTCAACCTGTGCACTATTACCAATGGAAACCAGGTTAAATCTGCCCACATCCAAAGGATCTGGTGTGGAGCTCCCCAAACATAGGTTTCTTTTCTTAGACAATACCTCCCATAATGCCACCCTAAGTGTTGTGTTCAAAAGATGGAAGACTTGGTGTCTATAATGGATACGTGCCTTGTGAGAACTCAGTAAGCGCCTTTCAGTCTTTTTACTGGTGATTATGATTCACAGGGCTCCTTTCTAGATTTTCTAGGTAGGGGAATACTCAGAAGCAGCTTCCCCTTCCCTTCGTCTTGGGGAATTTCTGAAACTCTGCAGCTTGCCCAAGGCTACGCAGGCTGGCTCTTCTCCCGGGAGGCCCCGTGGGGGGGGGGATCAGATCCCCAACCTCCGCCAGAGACCTCAACCATTGAGGTTGTCCGGCCAGTAGGCTCTTCTCCCGGGAGGCCCCGTGGGGGGGGGATCAGATCCCCAACCTCTGCCACAGACCTCAACCACTGAGGTTGTCCGGCCAGTATATATATCCAGCCACCTCTTCTCCCCCCCCCACACCCCTTATGCTAACCACATGCTTCTTCCTTCCCAAAAAGGGACACCCTCCCCCCAAGCCCTGCAAACAATCTGGAACAGGTTTAAATCCATCCAAGACCAAAAGGATTTTCTAGGCAGATAGGATCTGTCTCCAGTCTCACCCTCTCTCTCTGTATGTGTGTGTTGTTGGACTACAACTCCCAGAATGCAGCAGCCAGCTTGAGCACTGCTATATTTGTGGGACCCCCCCCCTTTGCCTCCCCCCACAAAATACCTTCAGTGTTTTCTACCATTCTGATTTATCACCCAGCAGGAAAGCGCGACAAGGGAGAACCTCCCCCCCTACTTGCCCCCTAACCCTTGTTTAAATTTACAACCCCCCCCTCCGAAGAGAAGCAGCACAGGACACATATTTGGGGAGGGGGTCAATTAGGGGTATGGGGTTTTTTGGGGGGGTTGGGGGTCTTTGTGTTTCCAGTCCCCCCCCAACCCTCACAATGAACCTGGGCGAAGGGGCATCTTGGGAGGGGGGTCTTTCTTCCCAAGGGGGG